AGAGTGGACGGTGGTGGTTGTCTCTATGAGTTCTGCTTTTCAAATGGTGTTATCGAAAAGGTTCCTAGTGTGGAAACAGTACCCCTTTGTCACCTGGTTGTTGCCTCTTGTGCCGCATCACTTAGGTTTTTTTCCCTTTCACCCATTCATTCCATTTTTCCCATGTAAGCAATTTTTTACAGTTTGGCTATTTTGTACCTCAAATGAATTCTAAGATAAGTGAGTAACCCTGGACATATTAAAAATCAACGACATAGCGTCAATAAAAATCAACAGACGTAGCGTCAGTGAAAATCAACAGACATAGCATGTCTGGATGCCCTGACTAAATTTGTGCAGGACAGGAGGTGCTTATGGGGGCAATCAGAGGAGAACCTATTGTGACTTTTGAGACCAGTCAATTTACCCAATTTTTATTGTAGTAATAATAAAAATAAAAATAAAATTATATAATAATTATACATTAAATTTTATTATAATTATATAATAATAAAATTAATGATAATAAAAAAATAATAAAGAAAAAAAATTGCATTACTACAAAAGACTTATAAAATACAAGTTTTGGGAATAAGGGGTTTGTTCTTTAAACAGTACCCAAAAAAATATATGGGGGATTTATTGCTGTTAAAATAATTAAAAAAAAAAAAAGGCATTCATATGTTACATTTAAATTACTCACCCACTCTGCAGAGTTCAAAACAGAAACACACAGACTGCAGCTTTTCCCGGTTTCTCCCTGTCAGAGCTTGTCTCCACTCCTCCTCCACACACCGCACATGCTGCCCGGCTAAAATGGAAGGAGGCTGTGAAGGGTGCATACTGCTTCTCGTGGGAGGTCGGCTTGCTCTCTGCTCTCCATGGCAACAGACATTAATCAGGAAGCAGGAACAGAGCAGAGAGAGAGCGGCAAGTGTGAGGGGGCGTCGGACTGATCGTTTTTTTTTTCTTCCTTACAGCTTTTATCTAAAGCTGAAATATTTATCTCTCACTAGGCAAACAAGGCATTTTGCTGCCCCATTGGTAAGTGCCGCCCACGGCAAATGCCTTGTTTGCCTCGTGATAGATACACCCCAGTATTTAACTATACAAAGGGACACTCCGGGCTCCATTACAACTATATTGAAATCCAGTAAATAGTAGAGAACCAAAGGTGTCACTTGAATAGAAAGTGACCACAAGGTAAAAATTTCCAATCCACTCCTATAAGATCTTAAAGGAGAAAATAATAAATAACAAAAGAACTTTATTAGCAACTCTAAAAAGTACTAGGACAAATTAAACACTGTAGACCATGGGTCGTCAACCTGGTCCCTACCGCCCACTAGTGGGCAGTTCAGGATTCCAGGTGGGCGGTAGGGATTTTCTAATTTTGAGAGACCAGGCGGATGGGTGCGAGCCGGCGGTACCCCTGCGACCGGGTACCGCCATCACCATTTGCGGCCCCGGCCTGCGCGGCAAACCGCCGGGGCCACAGATGGAGGGTTCCATCGGGTGGCCCATGCTGTCAGGGCCACTCGATGGATGTGGATTGTAAGGGGGCCCGGTCAGCGCTGGGCGCTTTAACAGCGCGACCGGGCACCCTGTGATTACATCAACAAGCTGGGAGGAAGTGACTGCACGTCTCTCCTCCCAGCTAACACTGAGAGCCGGAAACAGGAGGGTGACTAAAATATTTTGTGTGTGTTTGTTTGTGTATGTGTCATAGAAACATAGAAACATAGAATGTGACGGCAGATAAGAACCATTTGGCCCATCTAGTCTGCCCAATTATCCTTAATACTTTCACTAGTCCCTGGCCTTATCCTTATCCCACGCATGCTTAAACTCCTTTACTGTGTTAACCTCTACTACTTCAGCTGGAAGGCTATTCCATGCATCCACTACCCTCTCAGTAAAGTAATACTTCCTGATATTATTTTTAAACCTTTGTCCCTCTTCCTGATATTATTTTTTAACCTTTGTATGTATGTCTTGTGTGTGTGTCTGTATCTGTCTGTATGTGCCTGTCTGTATGTGTGTCTGTATGTGTGTGTATGTCTTTGTATATATGTGTGTCTGTGTGTGTATGTGTGTCTTATGTATGTGTCTTTGATGTATGTGTGTGTCTTTGTATGTATATGTGTATTTGTGTGTATGTGTGGCTTGTCTTTGTATGTATGTGTTGTGTGTGTATGTGTCTTTGTATGTATGTGTATAGTCAAAATAGGAAGCGTATGTGTGCCTGTATGTGTGTGTATGTCTTTGTATGTATGTGTGTCTGTATGTGTATGTATGTGTGTCGTATGTATGTGTGTCTTGTGTCTGTCTGTGTGTATGTGCCTTTGTATGTATGTCTTGTATGTGTCTTGTGTGTATGTCTGTATGTGTGCTTGTCTGTGTGTCTGTATGTATGTGTGTGCCTGTCTGTCTGTCTGTCTGTATGTGTGTCTGTATGTATGTGTGCCTGTCTTTTATAGTGGGCTATAATAAGTAATAGCAAGTGGTATACCTAGCTCAGCCTTCCTACTGGGCATTGCTATAAGGAAGGTTAAAAAAAAAAAAAAAAAAGGTGGGGAGGGGAATTGAGGAGGGAGAGGAGGGGAGCTGACGCACAGATGAGAAATCATATTATGCGCAAACAGAGAAGTCGTCTGAATATCACCGAAAGAGGAGACCTTCGTTTGTTCCTTACGAAAATCGAACCAGATATCAAATATTTAGTCTTGCAGCATCAACCTCAAGGATCTCATTAATCACTAGCAAAGGTAATTTCAATTTACTTTATTGTTTTCTCATTAAACTTTATAAAGTTAAAAGCATTATAAACATACATTAAGTAGAAATAAAAAGATAAATGTACGTACGTTTATTTTTTTTAACATACCCTCCTTTCTAAAAAAAAATCTGCACTTGCGTGAAAACTGGTGGGCGGTAAGGAAATGTTTTCAACCAAAAAGATGCATTTGTGGGCGGTAGGTAGAAAAAGGTTGACTACCACTGGTGTAGGCTGATATGAGGGGGAACAGCCCTGAGTGAGATGCTCAATAATAGATATTCAATAATGAAGCATACCACACAAGTTCCAAACGGGTATGGATTGGCAGTACGAGAACTAACTGAAGAGATAGCAATCTCCCCCTTTATGTGTTTAAGCCCTCGTGGAAGTATATACAGCACTGGTTACGACAGAGCCTAGTGTGATCTTCCAGACGTGCTGTATATACTTCCATGAGGGTTTAAACACATAAAGGTGGAGATTGCCTACTAAAGGGGGTTATCCCTTACTTTTCCAGTCTATGTGACCTTTTTTTGTAGGTTAGGTACGGGACAAGGGTGTTACACTAAATCTCTATCCTTGACCACTCCTCTTCTTTTCTTTCTATATTGAAATCCAGTTGTTATGGAGCCAAGAGGAGCTGGCTCACCTTAAGGGGTTAACCCATTTTTGAACCGCAAAGTTTGTGTTCCAGCACCGAATCTCCCTCTCTCTCTGTGCTTCCATTTTCTCAAAATCGGGAAACCATAATGGCTTTAGCAGAATTTTGCAGCGTTGTCGCTGACTGGCTGAGAACGGTCAGCTTATGCTCTCAGCCAATCAGTGACTCACCATTCACAAAACTGGCTTGAAAAAGTTATGTTTCTTTTCCAGCCATTTTATGGGGAGTCACTGATTGGCTGAAATTGTCAGCTGACTGCTCTCAGCCAATCATCAGTGCCACTGCCTGATTCTGATTAACATACGGTATGTCCCACCGCTGTCCCAACTTGTAAATGATGGTCAGAGAAAGATCGATTCCAACAGATACATTCTTTTTTATATGTTTTCTATTGTTACACATTTATTGCACGTTTGGACCTATTTTTTTTTCCAAATACATTTTAAATGATGTCAGGAATGTGAGACATTATTAAATAAGTCAAGGACATGTACATTGATCATGATACAATAATCCACATTCCAGAGTATTTAGAAAACTTTAGAAGCACAAAAACAATAACACGAAATTAAAAGAAAAACACACAATTCGACCAGCCAACCCAACCCCTCCCCAGATAAGAATTAGGATTGTACTAGAGGTATCAAGGCCAGGTGTAGTGTAAACTCGTTTGAGCATGGTTCTCATCTACCTATTTTTCCTGTATCATTGTCTCACTTCCTGTTAAATTTCCCCCTTTCATACATTGTAAAGCGCGGCGGAATAAGTTGGCTCTATATAAAACCTGATCATCAATAATAATAGTGTTAACTTTGTGGGAGAGAGACATTTACGTACATGGGGCATGGATTGGCCACCCAGCATTAGGAAGCAGTCAATAGACCGTGGATCAAAACCAGTTTTGCCACGTTACAAAAGAATTGAATTGAAACATTAAACCTGAAACAGATCAGGAGTCTTTATAAGTCTAAAATTATTTATAATCACTGGTCCGCCAGACATCCCTACCCACCGACTGCCCCCTAAGGTTTGGACTTATTTTTATATTTTAGCTTATTAATATGTCTTTCTACAAATTTATATAATTGCTTTGTTTCATTTTTTACATGTATAATACTAAACATGACTGGACAGAGATTTGATAAGTATTACTCTCTTTTTTATGTCTTTCTATGATTTAGTTGTAAGAATGCAATGTTTGTGGGCCTAGGACATACTTGAAAACGAGAGAAATCTGTTGTATCTTTCCTGGTAAATTATTTTATAAATAAATAAATTTATGGTGAACCGACAAAGATTTATTAAGCCAAGGTAGCCAGGGGGGACATTTTCCATGTTGGATATTTTGGCCTAAATTAAACATTTGTTATTTCAGCTCCCAGTTTAGTTAATAAGGGGCATGTGCATTTCAAATTATAGAGCAATGTCACACTTATTTCCTGTTCTAGCGAGCATTCCCGAGAGACTGCAACTGTGCCCACCTCTAACCCCTTCCACCCTAACACAACACCAAGGGATTTAAATTCAAATCCGGAAGTGGATTCCTTCGACGCGTTGCATTGTGGGAGTTGAAGTACGTCACTACCCTCTGGAACAGCCAAACCCGGCTCTGTAGGACTCAGTTTCCCGACAGGCCCTGCGCGCTCACCCGTGCAGCTCTCGCACAGAATGAATCAGTGGCGTTGTTATTGACGCCATATTGAGCTCGGCGTCCAAAAAGGAGCACCTAGTAACGCACGGCGCCCGAGTCCCCGCTCACCGTATCCGCTGCCATCCTCCCGGCACGAGTCCCCTCGCCCCCAGCAGCGAGCTGATAGCGACCCCACAGCGCCCGAGCGACACAGCCCGCCCGAGGATCGGCGGATAGAGCGGCTGGGACCGGCCGATTGGGAGAGGAATTCCCGGGAGCTGCCTGCTCGCCCTCCCCTCCCCCCCGGACATGGCGTGCGGGGCCACACTAAAAAGGACTATCGACTTCGACCCCCTGCACAGCCCCGCGGCTTCGCCCAAGCGGAGGAGATGTGCCCCGCTGTCCCCGGGGGGTCCGTCACCCCAGAAATATCTCCGAATGGAACCGTCACCCTTCGGGGAGGTGTCATCCCGGCTCACAGCAGGTGGGGGGCTGCCTGGGGGTGATGGGAGTTGGGGGGGAGGGGAGGGTAGTGATGATGGTCTGTGTGCCAGGTGGGGCTCCTGCTGTGAGTGCATTGTGTGGTGTCCGTTTGGGGGAGGGGCAGGGTGGGCTCACTTGCAATGCTGCCATTGATTGTATTGCTATTCCCATCACAGCTAGCCAGCCGCCCTCTTCTGGATACACTGCATGTGTAACGGTTTTAGTTAATGAGAAAAAGCCCTGAATAATGTTCAATCTATTTATTGAGATTTCTTCACCAGACAAGTGTGTGTGTGTGTGTGTTATATTTGTTAGTAAAACGTTGGGAGGCTTTAAACAATCCATCATTCATCTGGAAAGCCTGCATGTTAATAATATAAGGGTCTATGCTTTTTATTTCATGATGGCAATCTTGGCATTATGTTGAGTCACATTCTTCCTTGGATCCTAATCTTAACCCTCCCCATCCTTCAGATCATTGGGTTGCATGGATTAAGCTGAATGCCCTTTTTTTTGTTAGAGCTACTTATTAAAACTACAGCAGTTCTCCTCCTCCTCCTTTCCTCTGTCATTGTCCTTGTACCCAATTGATATGAGCTGCGGTGGCACACTGGGGGATGGGTGTGCTAAATTCATTGATTGAAAGTCTGGAAAGCAAACTTCAGTTTAACCCCTCTTACATGCACAGGGGTGTGCTTTCTTTCCACTAAAGACCTAGCATTTAAGTGTGTGGTTTTTTTTTTTTTTTTTTATATGTATGTAATAAATCTAGCTTGGGAGAGACTACAAAATAGCATTTTACAGTCCATTTGTCAGGAAATGGCAACCAAACAAAGTAATTGTGTGAAATGTGTATATATCCGTATACAAAACATACCCCAAAACAAATTTGACATTTGTGGGTTTTTGAAATACTTGTTTTGAGAGTACATCTCATAAATTCAGTAAAACTAATTATAGAATGCTTCTCTGTGACTAAATTGCAATGGCTTTCAAGGGATTTGGATACATATTTATCACTGATTCATTACATTGCAATCTGTGACAAATGCCCAAACCTGTTCTCATGTGGCATTATGTCTATGATACTATTAAAGGAGATCCAGTTATGTTGGCCCTCACTAGTCCTACAAAGTGTTAAATGTGACCGTGGTTTTTAAATACGTTTTTATAATATTTTATGCTTGTAAGCAGTGATGCAAACGTGGTAATTATCTGGATTGGTGTGTTTAGGAGCACTGTGCATTTTTCGAAATCTTAAGATGTAGTTTCAGTTTATAGTGTAATTATGTCTTTTTCTTCCTGACCTAGATGAGAGTTAACCATTACTAATGAAGTGCCAACAAATTCCAGAGCATTGTCAATTGGTGACTAAAAGACAAAGATTTGTAACAATACAAATTGGACGCACATTGGTTTAGGGCCCTGCTCAAATGAGCTTATAAATTAGAGTAGTGCACAAGTTATTAATTTTTGTGTACTCTAAAGTGTTTGAAATATTTCAATTGGATGACCTAATCAAAATGTAATTAAACAATATTTTAGATTGCCATAATGTTATATCAAAATAAATGAAAGTACAACTTATAGCAGAGTTGTTGTTGATAAAGGCTTAGCTTGTCATTGGGCCACCTATTGCCTTTTGTTTGTGTTATGGCACTTTGTACCTCTTGTAGTCTCCCATTTTATTAAAGCAGTACTTTGCTCCCTGTGGCCCCTGCAACCTCTTCCTCTGTTGGTTGTACACTTGCTTCCTCTCCCATGACTGGCAACAGGCTGCTGTACATACTATTTTGAGTGCTTGCACATTGTAGTGTCAGAAAAGCATCGGTATGCAGGATTACTCCTACTAGTTTGTTCACTTTATTTAAAAAATAAATAAAAAAATCCTGAATCAAGCGATGGGTCTAGTTTTCCCCGATCCTTCCAATTAAACACATTCTTCCTTGTCACACCCCATCATTTTCTGTTTCAAGGTCCAATCAAATGCTTCTCTTGATAGTGAAGCATTGAAGCCAATGCTTCTTTGTTCAGAAACAGTGAACACCACACAGCGCATGTGTGTTCATGAGCGGTGAGATGTGCTATAGCCTGCTCATAAGACAGTCAAAGTGTTGGGAGGGGAGGAATGAAGGGCAAAAAGATAGTTGGGTGGACATCAGGAGGTGAATAAACAGCAAGGGGGGGAGGGGGGCAGCATTATCCTTGCAGGCAGGTGCGCTGATAAGACAAAAAAAATTTTCAGACACTAAACTCACGGATTATGTACTTGCTTAGTTTTCACTTCTAAAAGCAATAATGGTCGTTTATATTTATTAGTCAGTTTCTTACACATACCTGTATGCTCCTCTTCACAGATATTATTAAAGGGAAACTATAGTGCCAGGAAAAGTAGCTTCCCCCTCTGTCAAGGATTCCCCTTCCCGTGGTGCAGAAGGGGTCAAAAAAAAAAACGTTCTGTCATTTACCTGGGTCCAGCGCCAATGTCCTCCTGTGTTTGCTTGGGTCCACCTTCTCTCCTCCCCCGCTGACGTCGGTAGGCGGGGCGACCTAATGCGCATGCGCGTCAATGGTCCCGCTTGAATTAGGATTTCCCCCGTTGGAAAGCCTATGGGGTTTTGAGCGATGCTGAATGTCCCCATGCATAGTGTGAGGGACATCCAGCATCAGTTCGGTGACCAAAAGTCATCAAACAGCCTGGAAGGCCCCTCTAGTGGCTGTCTGGTAGACAGCCACTTGAGGAGTTAACCGTTGCAGATAATTATTGCAGTTTATAATTAATTGCTCTGGGTTAAGGAATCTGGGGCAATGCACCCAGACCACTACAGCTCATTGAGCAATGAGCTAATGTGGTCTGAGCCCCTACAGTGTCCCTTTTTAAAGCAAAATAGCCTTCTCCACTTCAGTAACATCCCAAAGGGATAACTATTTTTTTTTTTTTTTTTTACTCTTGACAGTGGGATGCTACCAAATTACTCCTGGCACCATAATTGCCTCAGAAGGGGTTTTGTTTATTGTACTTTGAGTTTCTATTTAAGCCGGTGGCCAGATGGTATATCTCAATTGGGAGTTGTAGTTTTGCAACAGATAGTAATATGCTTCCAGCCACGTATGTCTTAAATGTTGTAGCTTTATGCTAAGTGTTTATTCCAAGGATGTTGCTAGTGTAAAAAATGGTGCTTGATGGTCTCCTCCCCAAACCCCACTTTTGTTTTTTGACCCACTGTTACTTGCAGACATTGACAGAATCAGAAGGCATACACAGGTGCAGTGCAAGTTGTTTACATATGTTCTTTACTACAACTTGCATGCTGTCGGAAACTACATATTGAATATTCATCCATATCTTTGATCCACACTCCTCACTGCAAGATTTTTAAAAAATAAAAAGAAATTTTGGAAGGAGTCGCCAAACTGCTACTAAGCAATTTGTTGCGATCCTATTGCAATTAATATAAACATTGCATGTACAATGAACACGGATATAAATCAAAGAAAACGCTGTAGTACCTGTATAGTACAGCTTTCAGTGGGAACACTGTGCGGCCCCAGTCAATGACATGTACTGTGTGGAGTAATCTCAGAATACTGTTTTCGGCTTTTTGTTTATTCGCCCCACCCCCATAACGTCCCAACGTTGAGCATATACATTAAAGCAGACAAATTCTTACCTTAAAGGAAAAGTGTTGTCAATATAACACTCTGGCGTTTGGGGGGAGGGGTTGTTTTATTTTTATACATATAAAACAAAAAAGAACTCCTTCAAACATATCAAAAATGTGCAGCATAAGGTAGACACCTTCCTCAACAGGAAAATACTCCTAATCAGGAGCCTTTCATTGTTGTGTATTGCCCCATAAACCTCTGTTCATTAGGAATTTGTGGATTATATAATTTATCTCCTGAATCCCTATGTATATTTAAACAAATGGTCATTTAGTTACTCCAATGGCAATTGGAAGGAAAGCCCGCTTGCCAATGTCAAGGCAGCCCCCCTGGCGGGTCCTACACTGACCCTTCACCTTGCTTCCTTGAGCTTTTGGCAACGATATCTCTGAGACAGAGAGGGGTGTTTTTATTTTTATTTTTTTATATATACGCCACTATATATTAACCCTTAATAGGGAACACATGGGATGGACGGCAGCATCTTTGGTTTTTACTGTGTGTAGTGTGGCTGATGTGTACTGTGGTCGTTGCTGCTGTCCAGGAGTGAGGGCAGGACTTATCTTTTTGTATTTATATAATTTATTTCCCAGCTGCAATTACTCATCGCTTGAGTATGAGTAGGGCTGTTCTATAAACTTATAGAAGGCATGGGTTAGCTGGTATCAGGTTATGTACGTAGTTGTTCTTGGACAAGGGTAGGGGGGCAGGGTACTTTTCATGCTTAGACTATTTCTTAAGGCAGTTCACATGAAAGTCAAAGTTTAAAAGATGACTAAGTTAAATCAATTTTAAGTAAAACACTTCATTTTTTACAAGTTTAAAAATAGTTAAACTTACTTTATTCCTTGTGCTGTACAGCAGTCCAACTCTCAAACTTGAACCCTTCACTTAAGCTTTAATCTCTGCATTGTGTTGGTGGAATTTCTAGCTAGAATATGGGGTTACATTGTATCCTTTATAATGTAAATTGTCTCCATTTATTTTGTCCACTGAGTTATGTTTGCACTGCAATGATGACATTGGCTTAACCCCAGAAATCAATGCATGCAGTCATGGTCATTGCATTCCATGATTGGAAACGTTGCATTGTGTGTTCAGGCCAGCCTGTTTGCTGGCACAGCTGGTAATATCCTTTAGACCTAAACTGGTAATTTCACCCTAAATCTTATCCCTATTTTGGCAGTACATTTGTAAAATTTAGCCTATTTAAAGTGCTACCAGACATTATCTTTATTGGGTGTCTTTCTAGAGATTACAATAAAACCTTGCTAATGGGACCCTTTAAAGGGAAACTGTAGTTACAAAAATATAATAATTGTCTGTTTTTTAAAAAATGTATTTATTTTTTTTAGTTAGATTTAATTGCCCCCATTTTGGGTCCATCACACTCCAAATTTAAATAGAAAAACTTACCTTGACTCCAGCACAGAGATCCACAGCTTGAACCGCATACTTTTGCACCAAAATAATGTTTGTCCAGTAAAATGCTTATCATAAAGAAGCACCATTTGCCATCAAATTCTTCTCAATAGAGAAGCATTTATAGAATTTATTTATTTATTTTTTTTTTTATACTTGTGCTTTGCAAGGCATCAAGAACGGTGTAAGATTCAGTCTTGGAAGAGGAAGAAGCACTGTCTACTAGCTATCAGGGTAACAGCCACTAGAAGTGTTTTTTGCCCTGCAATTGCCAAATCTCGGAAAGAGCATTTTTTTTACACTGCTGGAGAAAAATAAAAGGGGAACTGCGCCAATAAACTTTGAGTTGAAACAGTCTGCCTGCTTATGGTGTCCCTTTAACCTTCATAACCACTTCTTTGTGCTAAAATGGTAATGGTGCAAAGACACATACCCTGTACCTGCTATTTTAGTTTTCTTCCTTTTCAGATATAAATATGGTCTTATTTCTGTGCAAAGCTGTCGTCATGGGCTCTCTGTAAGCCAACTGTAATGATCACTTCCTTACTGGCAATATCAGTTTTGTGCAGAGGTCATTGTTTTTTTTTTTTTTTTTTTAATGAAAACCATTTCATTGTTATTGGGTGCTGGAATTGTCGAGACCTGTCCTAAGTGACCTCCTACGCCAAGTTCTCAAACCTTTTGCCTTAATATCTTTTAAAACTGCATGGTAAAGAAGCTGTTTAAATGCAGCTTCATTTCTGTAACACTAGTCATTTTGAATGGCAATCATTCAAATGCATAATTAATCAATTTTATCTATGACAAAGACCACAAATGCCAACCTTTGGAATGAACATATAGGGACCAGTAGTGTAAAATTCACATATCTTTGATATCTGGACTGGGTGTTGAATTCTGGTTTGCACTGCCAGCCTTTTATGGGCAGGTCTGTCAGTCAAGGCATTCTTATTCAGACACTATTACCAGCTCATGCGATGATAAACATATATAGGAGGTTTTGCTTGGGTGCGGTATGTTTCTGAATCGTGGAAATTTCACATCTTGTTTATAAGTTTGGCTGTATTGTAATGCGTTCACTTCTCTCTTTACCAACTGAAACATAATCCTTTAAGTTTGCTTTTTCAAAAAGAAGTGTAAAAGTTGAATGTTGCAAAAAGGAGTATGATTCTAAAAAGCAGAAATGGTTAACATTTAAGAAGTAACATAGTCAATATTTGAATAAAAAAAAAATCATTTTACAGAGTAACCGGATTGTGGAAAATTCAAATACACAGCCGAGTTTTGTTGCAATTATCAGTTAAAATGTTAGCTTATATTGACTATACTAATAATGTATTAGATTAGTCGGTCGCAAAACTATATAAAACCTTTTTTTTTTTTTAGAAGTAGGTATTCTTAAAGGGACACTCCAGTGCCAGGAAAACAAACAGTCTATGCTGTCATGCAGTGCAGGGCTTGAATGCATGTTGGTAGCATAGCTGTAGACCATTATGCATTAAAAGTACCGGCAGGTTTAAATCCCTGTTTGTGCCCAGAAGCCCCAGGTATCGATGGATAGCTGAGGGCAGCACCATACTGACAGATGAGGTTTGTGCAGCTATCTGAATCTCTTTTTAAATCACCATGGCTGACCTTCACTGATTGGTGCTTGTCAGCTGGCAAAGCCCAGCACCTAATCATTTCTCCCTGAGATCTCCCTTTCATGACGCAATCACACAGTACAGAGTGCTCTCAGAGCACTTTGTGAGCTGGGAAATACTTTTGCTGATGACCGCAGAGGGAATTCCCCAGAGTTATGATTAGGTGGGATTATGGGTACAATCTTTGGTGTGATTAGGGCAATATATATACTTGTCGAGCATCATTGTAATCGAGAATACAAATATGGGGTGTTTTCCAAAATAAGATGTGTGAAAGACAACAAAAAAATATTTTGAGGTTTGTGATAAAATGGTCAAATGAAAAGTGTCAAAATGGTCTTGGTTAAATAGCCTGGGTGATGTACTTTCTACAAATATTTACTTTTTGTTTAGTGGCTTTGCATTATCTGACTACCATGAAAGTTGTAATGCCATGCCAAAATTTAGCTTTAAAACAATAATTTCTGCAATATTTGATTTATAACTTCTAAAAATTAACTGAAATCCTAGACCTAATAGGTGTTTTAAAGGACCTCTCCACACTCGTAGAGCATTTTAGCTTGTTGATATACTTTATAGGTTAGGAGTATCCCATTTTAATTCCCCTCCCCCACCCCCACCCACTTTTTTTTTTTTTTTTTGAGAAGTATATACACTTTATTATGTAAGGAATAATTGACTCCAGGCCGTTGAATTATTAGAAAAATGTGCATTATTTTTCTAATAATTCAAAGCCTGGAGTCAATTATTCCGCCTTTACTACAGTTACCACACCTCGAAACATTGTTCAGATGTATTTCAAGACGTTTGTCAAGTTTTTGTCATTAAAACGCTCTTGTGTGTAGGCCTAATTTCTTACGCATCAATTCCCATGCCTTCGTTGCTAATTCCAAAACGTCATTTAAGAATTAGTAACGGAGATTTGAGCCATTGATAGCAGACTAATGCAGTTATTAGAGAGACAGGTTGCAATAATGAGACAGAAAAGCATGTGCATCAATATTTTTATTTATTTATTCATTAGTTTTAGTTAATTTTTTATTTATTTTTATTATTGACAGTAGGCTGTAACGAAAACCAGTGCAACAGGACTATCTATGTATATTCAGTTCAATTTTCTATTTATTATAAATGGGACCATGAATTGTAACCTATTCATTATTACAGTTGACTACACAAAGTGATATGGAACTGTAATGTGGTCAAGACCTGTCTGGAACTACTTTAGCCGTGCTTCTCCCTGAAAATAATGCACACCTTAGAACGTTCGTCAGCCTATCAGATTGAAGCATTCATTGGCCCTGTAGTATAATTTTTGTTTTATTTTTATAACACTTTTTTTAAGAAACGCCTACCCAGCTGGAGGGGGTACTCTTTCTCCTTCCGTTTACTCCACTGAGCTAATGGAAGTGGCAGTTGTTCTCTGCTAGTGCACACCTGCCTTCTCCCAAGAGTTACTGTGAGTCAGTCAGCATGCGTTTACAGGGCTCCATGATTAACTGGTCCTCCCTGGCTGTCTCCTGCCCCTATATCCAATCTAGGCCACCTCTATCATTGTACACCCCTCATAACCACAGGCTTCTGATTTCCACAACACCCTGACTGAAATTGTTTGCTAGAGAAAAAAGGGAGGGCTTGCAAAGCCTGCAGGCCAAAAATCTGCAACTTTTAATTCTAGCTATACCTCTGACGGCATTCATAAATAAGTAATATTATTATTTTTTTTTTTTACTACAATGTTTTAGCCCCATCCATTTCTACTTTAAAAACATTTTACATATAATATAAAATGTATTGGTGCACTAAAACAGTGTGAAATTGTGGTTGAATTAATGCATCGCAAATGTACCAAAAAGGCCTTGGTCCTCAAGAGTTTAAACCCTTAACGATCATGGCTCATTTCAAATGTAATGCATTTGATGGTGTGATGGAATGTCCTAGCAATATATTAGTTTGTGCAAAGATTCTGTATTTGCAGAAAAACTAATAGAACACAAGATCAACTTTCCCAAATGCCCACCTTTTATGGTCAGGGACATAAAGAGCCACTAGGGCACTGTAGCATTAGGAACATACATTTATAATCCTAGTGACTTTCTTAAAGGGTCACTCCAGACCCCTAATGCACTTTAGGTTGTGGAAATGAATTGGATGTAAAGTGTCACTTAAATGTATTTTTCTTTTTACAAAATATGCAAATTTAAATAGATATTTATGAACTTACCTGGTTACACCCCACTGGCTTTCAAGCAGACAACAGGTCCTGTTAGTTCCCGACTTGTTTAGATCAGTCGAGCTAAACTCGAGGCAGCAATTACCCTGAGCACCTGCCTTGCAAAGACTTGCTTCCATGGAAAGTCTGTGCTGGGTTAGAAGAAGAGGGCTTGCAAAAGCCACACCCAGCATGGAAGTTCCCAATAGAAATGCATGGTTTCACTGCATCTCTGTGAGGAGTTGCGGATTGTTGCAGTGTGGTGTTTTGTGCACATGCACGGAAGTCTCCTGATGCTTTCTTAAGGGAAAGCATTGGACTGGCTGAAATCATGAAGACTGATGTGTGTGTGTGGCCAGTTGTGGCAAGACCAGTAAGGCGAGGAATGAAAGGTAAGTTTTACAGGAACACTATAGGGTCAGGAACACAAACATGTATTCCTGACCCTATAGTGTTAAAATCACCATCTAGCCCCTCATGCCTCCATAAATATAGCAAAATATTATTATTATTATTATTGCCATTTTATATAGCGCCAACAGATTCTGTAGCGTTTTACAATATTATGAGAGGGGGGATGTAACTATAAATAGGACAATTACAAGAAAATTTACAGGAACAATAGCTTGAAGAGGACTCTGCTCAAACGAGCTTACAGTCTACAGGAGATGGGTTATAAGACACGTTGGGACAGGAAATATCAATCAAATAGGTTGGGAGTGAAGCAGAGCTGGAGTAGAGAGTAAAGCACTGCACTATAGGAGAGAGCAAGAGACAGGTATGTAAGGTAGAGGTTACTCTTGGAGGCAATAAGCTTTCCTGAAGAGATGGGTTTTAAGGCCCTTTTTAAATGATTAAAGACTAGGGGAGAGTCTGATGGCGGTAGGCAGGCTATTCCATAGGAAAGGAGCCGCCCGTGAGAAGTCCTGCAAGCGCGAGTTGGCCGTACAGGTGCGAGCAGCGGTCAGGAAGTGATCATGGGCAGAGCTGAAGGAACAAGGAGGGGCATACCAATGGATCAGTGAAGAGATATGAGGGGCTAGAGTTGTTCAGTGCTTTAAATGTATGGGTTATATTCAAACCTGAAGCTGTAGCTCTGCATGCTGTTTGCCTCAGAAAAACAAGCGGTCTGCTGACATCTTTAAAAGTGGTGGCCTGATCCAGTCACAATGCTTCTCCATAGGATTGGCTGAGACTGACAAGGAGGCATATCAGGGGCAGAGCCAGCATCATTCAAACACAGCCCTGGCCAATCAGCATCTCCTCCTAGAGATGAATTGAATCAATGAATCTCTATGAGGAAAGTTCAGTGTCTGCATGCAGAGGGAGGAGACACTGAATGTTGGCCAGTGATGTTATCCCTAGGCTGTAATGGAAACACTGCCTTTTCTCTGAAAAGTCAGTGTTTACAGCAAAAAGCCTGAAGGTAATGATTCTCACCAGAACACATGCAATAAGCTGTAGTTGTTCTGGTGACTATAGTGTCCCTTTTAAAATAAATTTTCAAAGTGATCTGAAGGGGGGCCGGAGAGCTAAACAGTTTTACACTATTGTGTTAGGAATACATGTTTGTATTTCTGGCAATAGTGTTCTTTTAACATACTTTCAATGGCACAAACCCAGTACCAACAATTGATTTTATTTATTATTGTCATTTTATATAATGCCAACTTATTCCACAGAGCTTTACAATATTATAAAGGGGAAAATGTAACAATAAATGAGACTATTACAACATGTTACAGGAACAATAGGTTGATGTGGACCCTGCTCAGACGAGCTTACAATCCTACATGTTTTCATTTGAGCAAGATGAGCTGCGTTAATTTGTTTTCTCTCAAGTAGATGAGTGTGAAAAATTGTACTTATTTTTGGAATAGATGTTATGCTGTGGTATGCACAGCTGTAAAGAATCACTTCCTTGCATAATAAAATAGCTGACATTTCTTGTTTTTACTTCCTGTCTTTTTTGAGATACAGTTTTAAAAGAGGTCCATCATTGTTGCATAACTTTGCAAGTTTTAAAGTAGTAGTCTCATTTTGTCAAATAGCATTGGCTGTAAAGGTAATTTTTTTTTTTTTATTGTTTTTTTTAATCCTCTGCTAGTTATTGGACAGTGATTGCAAATAACAGACTGTGTGACATCTCACTGTATGGATATAAAAAAATAGTGACTTATTCGTCCTGTGAATCTTAACCAAAAAATAAATATATATATCTATATCTCATGTCAGCTATAAGTGAAATGTGTATAATGCGAAAATAATGATATCTTGATGTGCACCAAGGCATTCTTGTGTATGTGTTCCAATTATTCTGAAACTGGTAAGATAGCATTAAAGATATATTGCTCTATTTAAGTTTTTGTCACTCCAGAACTAACTCCAGCAAAGCTACAGTCCTGATGCCCATTATCATTGTTGTCCCTGCTTCTCCCCATGTAAAATAAATTAAACAAAACTAATAACTCACTCTTTCTCCAGCCCCAAATTTCCATTGGCACTGCCTATTTGGGTTGCATTATCCTCCAGGATGACAGGCCAATCCTCTATTGACTTCACAGAGGTTGCACAAAGCGCCTATAATTATTCCATAGAGGATCACTGTATTCATTAATTCTTTATGGTCAACTGTGACAGCTGTGCGCATGATATAATTGTATGTCCCAGTATGAGTTGGGAAGTAAGATTCCTGGCTCTTGTACCCAGAGGGCTTAAAGTTTGGGGGTGAAGAGTGGCCCGTGTGTGTCTCATTACAAAGTACATTTTAGCAGCCCTTGAGCATGTATTGTTTGTTAAAGAATATTTTAAAATCTTTGTGTTTGACTTATGTTCAGTTTAATTTTTTTTTTTCTCTGAGCAACTTATTATTTTTTATTTTTTTCCTGTCCTCCATCAGAGCAAATTCTGCATAACATAAAACAAGAGTATAAACGAATGCAAAAGAGGAGACATTTAGAAAACAGTCTTCAGCCAACAGAACTCTGCTGTTCAACTGATTTACAACATACTCCGTTCCTCTCTTCTGGGCCAAGTATACCTGGTGAGTAGGATATGACCCTCAATATCACTTAAAGTCCACCGCCAGCCCCAAAATGTATAAAAAAATTATATAGTGCAAAATATTCATATAATAAAATAAACTCTTCTGAATCTGTGCATAAATATCACCTACATATCAATATTATAGGCATTCACTTAGACTAGAATATTCCTATGTGATCTCTTAAATTACAAGTCATTGGGAGGATTAGACTATGGGTGTATCAATGTGGGAGTCTGTTGCTTGTATTTCAGGTGCTAATAATGGTAAATGTTAACCTGACATTACTATATGTGTATCAAATACCTATATAATCCATCAACTAAGCTGTAGTCTTATAATTTATATTCTAGAGAAACAGCTTGTCCAACCAGTCTTGAAACATAACTAATGATGCCAGTGTTGTTTCAGTGGGAATGTCGATAACACTGGATATTAAGGGATCCATGATGGCTGTTTCAAAGTCAAAACATCTATACTCATGCAAGTGTATATGCTGTATGTCAACGTCATTGTGAATGTTTTGTGCAAGGTTTTAACACTGTGTAAATACAGTTTTGTGTTAATACAGAATCTAAACATATAATCCTATTTAATACAAAATTGGGGATGCACCAAACTTTTCGGCTGAAAATGAGCCTATCCCATTTCGTCCAAAAGAGTCAAATCTGCCCTGTGTGCTGCCGGGTGCGAGGCCCCTCCAGTCTTCCTGGGGAGAGAGCCAGCACAGTCTGCAGCTATGCTGAGTATGAGCTGCAGACTTTGCTGTATCTCGCGATCTCTGGCCTATCAGAGTGTTGCTACAGGTTACCACGGCAACGCTTTGACTTCTGGATAATGCGAAATACAGCACAGTCTGCAGCTCAAACCCGGCGGAGCTGCAGACTGGAGAGACTGCTCACCGGACCACCAGGAAAACAAAGCTATTACTAACCCCCTCCCTTTTTTGGGGTAAAAAGTTGTTTACGGCCAAGGGCATCCTGAATTTTAGGTTTCGCCCCAGAATTTTCATTTCCGTGCATCCCTATACAAAATTATCTTTGAGCCGTATGGATCACAATACTTGTGTCTGCCAATTCATAAACTAAGCTAATGGATATTAACCCCTTAAGGACCAAACTTCTGGAATAAAAGGGAATCATGACATGTCACACATGTCATGTGTCCTTAAGGGGTTAAAGGAACACTGTAGTGTCCGGAACACAAACCTGTATTACTGGCCCTTGTATTCAAGTCTGCAGCTGCTGGCTCTGCCCCTGTCTACTGACATCAGCAGAAGTGGTGGTCTGAGCCAATCACAATGCTTCCCCATTGAGCAACACAAGTCAAACACAGCCCTGGCCAATCAGAATCTCCTCCAAGAGAGGAATTGAATCAGTGCATCTGTATGAGGAAAGTTCAGTGTCTCCATGCAGAGGGTGGAGACACTGAATTGCAGTTCTGCACACTAGGCAGGATGCCCCAGGAAGCTCCTCTAGTAGCCATCTGAGGAGTGGCCAATGGAGTTATTCCTAAGCTGTAATGTAAACACTGCATTTTCTCTGAAAAGACAGTGTTTACTGCAAAAAGCCTGAGTGGAGATGATTCTACTCAAAAGAACAAATACAATAAGCTGTTGTTGTTCTGGTGACTATAGTGTCCCTTTAAGTGAATAGGAGCATGCATTGCACTACACTTCAATAGGTCAGGTGGTAACAAAGGATCACTCATATATGCACAAAAAAGTAGCACGTTTTTATTTTGTGTACCACAATTGCTTCAGTGAATAGATTTAAGTTGTTTTGAGTTTCTCTGATTTTAATTTTATCCTATCACAAATAGGAGCACTCAAATGGGAAAAAAAGAATTGTCAAGGCTCAAAATTTCCACTGGACAATTTAGGTCTAGCAGTAGAAAATTCATCCCTGGAGGGTATGCTATCGCTTGCAAGTAACTTTTAAAGGAACACTCTGGGCACCATAACTTAATACAATTTAACCCTGGATTCCAGTATACAGCGCCTGATTTCTCTGCCCCCTGTCTTTCCACTGCTCAGTTCATAAAAGAGGAAGCCTTGGACAGGAGCAATGCTTATTGGCCGATCCGTATGATGTGTAAAAATAAATTAATTTAAAAATAAACTAGAGCACAATAAGTGTCTCTCAAGCCGTTTTGTGAATTGGGAACCATCTAGCGGTGCTCCGGTCAGTGGCTTTATCGTTCGAGAATCTCACCAGGGTAAGGAAGGTTGGCAGGGCTATCAGACGCTGGATACTTTGGTGTTAAATCATTTGTGACAGTTAAACCCCTAAGGTAAGCAGGAGCCACAAACTTCCTGGCATCATAGCAGTTGGAAAACAAAAACAAATTTAATTCTGGGCTGATAGGATACATTACATTTCATACTTTGCATTTCTCAGTTTGCCACTACAACCAAACTTTGATAATGTTTTCAACTTAAAGGTACAATAAGTGCATCGCCACTGAGAAAGGAGCAAGCACTGTTTACCCTGAGACAAGTTGGATTGATCTGCGAACGTCTTTTGAAAGAACGTGAAGATAAAGTCCGTGAAGAGTATGAAGAAATTCTTACCACAAAACTTGCCGGTGAGACAGTATGAGTGTGTAGCTATAACTGTGCAAAAGCTCAGTGTGTTGTTTATATACAGTAATGTAGCGTTGGTAACCTGCCTGAATTAGACTCCATTTGATTACATTTTGTTTTGTAGAGCAATATGATGCTTTTGTGAAGTTCACTCATGACCAGATAATGCGAAGATATGGAGAACAGCCTGCTAGCTGTAAGTATATCGTTGCATATTGTCCACTTATAAAAATCAAATCTCTCTACTGTGCAACTGCTATTACTTAACCAAATTGTTCAGTTTGTATGTACTGTTGAATACATATTGCAAAATTTCAAGTTCTAAGCCACTAGCCAGGCTTAAAAACTTACTTGCCATTGCAAACTTGGATGGTCCATGGTTACATTTTACTCTCCAATGGCTAGATGTGAGTGGAAATTTTTAAGCCCTGATATATTGCATATATCATGCAAGGCATATTATTTATAAAATGCCAACATATTCCACAGACTGCAATGGATATAGATAAGTTGCATGAAGTGTGCATTAGACCAGTTCTATGTTACATACAGTAGAATATCCAAAATTGCATTAAAATAAAAGTACAATGTAAGTATGGGGTGATATACCATGTTGATACACAAGCACATTTATACATATGGCTCAACATTAGTTGATAACCGTACTTCTGGTGGCTTTCAGTCTGATAGTGGTCCAGGACCAAGTCTAGGAAAGAAAACCTCATTGAGGCTCTGTCAACACAATAATTATTTGTGAGCATTTCATAAATATACAATCCTTTTGAAATGCTCATAAAGAGACAGCATTGTTGATGCAACCCTCAGAGTCTGGTGTATCCTACGTTTCTCCCGGCAGCTTACCACATCACCAAACCCACTTACCCCCATCACGAACCCGGTATGTGCTGGGGAGCTGCACCCAGCAGCCCTGAGAAACATTCAGGTGATGGACTGGGTTTATATGCATCAGTGGTGTGCCGCAAACTGCCTAAAGCCCATCTCACAGACCGCAGACCAACACAAATAGATGAATTCCACTATTTGTGTTGGTCTGTGAGATGGGCTTTAGGCAGTTTGCGGCACACATCTATTCGAGGCAGAGACCACCTACACAGGCCCTGACGTACTTCGAACAACTATGCACATCTAGAAATCCTATCACACACGGGGTATCAACCCTATACAACGCCCTATTAACTAATGGCGACAGACGTCCACTTGGTTTACGGATAAAAGAGAAAGGGAAGTAGGGGTCGAACTCACTGACCAAGAACGGGACAAAAAAATATTCCTCCTGACACACAAATGCTCCATAAGTTCGAAGTACCAAGAAACGAGTTACAAATGACTGACACACTGGTACAGGACCCCAGACGTTCTTAGACACATACATGACTCAATACTAGGCGACTGTTGGAGATGTGACACTGTCGTAGGTATGGGATTGCATATTTGGTGGTCGTGCCCCCTCAGTCCCATACTGGCAAATAGTAAACACGAAAATTAGGGAGATTACAGACACACTTACCACTGCTGCCACTGACGATGCTCCTTGATCACACACCCATCCCACTGAAGTCTTACAAAAGATCCCTCACCATACACTTACTCACCGCAGCCAAGTCCCTCATCCCGATACACTGGAAAAGGAACAGGGGCCCACCTTTCAGCAATGGGTGGCCAAGGTAGAAGACATATACAGCATGGAACCTGCCACCACTCCCAATGGCACCCATACCCGAATCGCATCTGACCCCATAATCGGGGCTCCATGTACCTTTTCCTCACCTCCCCCCCCTTTTTTTTTCTCCGTCCTCTATTTCTCGCTCTTCTTTCTCCCACTTTCCCATCTCTCCTTCCAACCCTTTCCCCCCCCCCCACCTCCTGAATACCCCCTTCCCATACCCACCATATCTTACGTTTAACGAGTGACACAACATTGTTGGAGACTACCACAGTGGACGACCTAATGCTCATGCAGCCCAGGCCGAGACCAGGCTCAGAGGTCAGCGACATAAAATGCCCCCCGCAAACCCCTTACACAGGCTCCACCCTGACACAAACGCAGAAGCAAGGTTGCAATGTCAACTAGACATAGCAGAGTACTACATTGACCCCCTGTAGACACCTTGATCTGACTGTCCCCTGTTGTACACAGAGTAGGTCACAATATTTATCAAGGTTGTTTGATCGCTAAGCCTGTTCAACCACATGTTTAACCCAAGTTCTGTTAAAGCTAAACCGTTATGTAACCAATGGAACAGCAATGTGAAGTATCTTGAATACTTTAAAAATAAATGTCAAAAAAAGACTGCTTTGGAATTTCATTGCAAATTCCAGCACAGTTAAAACATATCCTAAGACAAAGTAAGGAATACTGTGTTTATGGTAAAATCCTAACCTGACAAAAGGCAGAGTTTCTGTTGTCAAGCGATGACTGTGGAAATGAGGCATTGTCTTGGTCTATGGAGAGTCTTGCAGAATGGTTCAGATACAAGTGTTATTCTTGTGAGAAAATAAAAAGATGGTGCTTGTAGGTACAAGTTTCAGGAAATGTTAATGCTGTAGCCACATGTGATTACACTGAAGCAGCAATATCACTATTGGGGATCTTTGAAAAATATGCAGAGGCCTCTGTGAAAGTGACTTTATGAAGTGGTTTTGGTGATTAGTGTCCCTTTTAACATTACCATTTGTAAAGACAATGCAAATCGAATAGTACAGCAAATTTGGAGAAGTAAAATAACATTTTTTTTTTAAATAAATTCCAGGAATGCCAAACCACATTTAGCACCACTGCAGTAACTGTAACACCCTTTGTACAATGACATTTTGACAAGTAGAATTTAATGCCTTCATTTAATGTGTAATCTCATGGCAGGCATGTTATCCAGTTAATACAATACTCCAAACTGAGCTCACACTCTAGAAAAGGCATAACTGAACTGTATATACTTTCCATATGTCATCTAACAACTTTTGATATGTATTAAAGTTTTATTCAGAAATAACAAGATATCTGCAGTTGTGTGTCTGCTATTGTGCAGGCTTCAGTATTTTCTGGTTTACATCTGTCTGTAGATGTTTGGGTACATCCGTGTTGACATTCCAACAAGTAACATGTCTAGACTCTAATCAAACGGCTTGAAAGGGAGCAAATTTAGATATTTGCCTCTAGCATTGAATAGGAAACCTATTTTGTATTGTCCCTTTTGAAATGAACTGTAAATTAGCTAGTTGGCAGCATTGTTCTGCAGTAGGAAACCCTATCCTTATTAATGCTATTGAATGGCCTTTCTAGATATTTGAGTTGTATATTGATACCTTTTTATTATAAATTGGATTATTTCGTACTTAACATTTGTGAAATTAAATTTCCGTGAGTGTAATATGAACCATAACGACTTTTGCTTTCTTTCTAATTGTGTTTTTTTTGTTTTTTTTCAGATGTTTCATGAATGACTCCTTGCCTTTCCAGGCTGATGTTTTTCCTTAATTGCTGCAAGATGTCATAGTTTAAAAATTGCAGCAATGCCATAACCCCTTCCCTGTGAACACAGGCTATTTCAAGCTTTTGTCAGTGGCGACCACTCTTATGCAGCAACTGGTTTAGGAGTGCTCCTGATGTCGTGCCACCTGGATGTGGATCTATGCTACCTGTATTACTATACCAGTGGCCTCATTTGCTGTATTATTGAAATTTGGCTTCTTTTGTTTGTTTTAAAATGGATTAAAGCTGGTGTTCATAAACATGCCCTTTGCTTGATGTGTAAGTAAGTCAAATTTAGGATGACATTTGTTTTTGACTGACTGCAGTTGTAATAACTGTGCAACAACAACAAAGTCCAGCAACTTTAGGATGGAATAATTCTTGGGACTATTTTAAAGTGACCTCCACCACACTTGACTGTGGAGAGAAAATAAAGAGGGCATGTCTGTTTATTAAAGGACTATTGTGGGGAAGGTAAAAATTGATTATATGATTTTGTGTTTTGTAGTTTTATTTATTCTTTCGGTCTTTAACAAATGTTTAATGCATTTTTTTTTTTCTGTCTATCATTGTTTAACTGCCTTGTACTGGAATTTAGTTGGAAAATAAAAACAAACACAAGACTGCTCTTTCTGAGTAATTGCTTTTTTAGTATAATTGTCAAATGTATTTTGGTGAGTGAATACTGTATCTGGTCAGTGTTAACCACTGACAGATTAGTCACAAAGAGACTCAATGTCAGACCCATGCAAGTCAGTTTCAATGTAATACCATACCCCGTTCCATTTATTTTCCCTCTTTTGATTATACAGCACAGAAGACATACTGGTACATAATCACGGCTTGCTCGTATGCATGTCATCATGAGGAGACTGTCACACTAGCTTTTCCAGAAAGGGTAACTGTCTTCCACTGATTCTCCAGCACAGACTGCGTTTTAAAAGGAGACTACAATATAGCAGATTTACTATCCCTAAAAACCCCTCAAGTATATCGCGGTTTCCCCACATTTCTATAATTTTATAAAGTTATATAGTGTAGATATTTTAGGGGAAATTAAATGTGGAACTTGGAAGGTTTAGGAGTTAAAAAGAAAATATCCTATACATGAAAGAATGATGTATTAAGCTGGGGTTGTTAAGTGGTAATGGTTAAATTACCCCATGTGGTTTGCAACACCGCTGGGGGTAACTTGGTGCACTATCTTTCTTTTCCATATGAGAAAGTCTCCATGTGTGGAAACGTGAATGCCCAGATCCCATATTAGGCCCGGTAACCCTTTTGTAGATTCTTTAGAAACCTATGTTATAGGGGTAGGAGTGCCTGGGCACCATTTCCAAAAGATTTAACCCTTATGTTCGTCCCCAACATCTCTACCTTCTCTTCTTTCCACCTGGCCACACTGGCAAATAGGTTTGCCAGGCAGATGGTGATAGGCTGAGAGCTTCTCACTGATTCAGTCCATCACTGGCTGCCTGATGAAGGTAATATGTATGACAACTGTATGGACGGACACTCATCCACTCAAAAAAATAAAATAAAATATATATAATTTTTTTAAAAAAAGGTCTTTTATATAACTTAAAATTGTACATCACTGAACCTTACCTATTTTGGGACTGTTTGACAGCTGAAATTGACTTTTCTAATTTGGTACTAACATTTCAAAAGCTCCTGACAACCCTATATATTGGGTGTTTTTTTTTTTTTTTATGATGCTTTGCTGTAAAAGTACACTCAAGACTGTTAAAATTGATTAGGTGGCCATACAAATATACTAAACCTACTCTGAGAGATTTTTTTTCCTCTGCAAACAGGCAGTTTTCTGGCAAGCTGTTACAGTTTGAGAGTTTGCAACAGATCCCCAATTCAACATGACAAAAAGACATTGCTGTATTAAGAGGCAGCCAAAAGCCATCTGGCATTTCAGCTGAAGATTAACAGAAAATTGTCTCCATTTTAAACATCTGTACTACAATATGAGCGTTTGGGATTTCATGAAGCAATACCATAGTGTCAGGAATACAAACATGTTTAGAAAATATGGTTTCCCTCCATTTCCATCACTTTGCCGGTCTGTTGCAGCTGACCCCGCTCAAAAAAAGGCAGTGTTTACATTTAAAAAGCCTGCAGGAACAAGCCATAGTCACCAGAACTACAATAAGCTGTAGTTATGGTGACTCTGGTATCCCTTTAAACTCCCTTTACTAGCATAGCAAAGGTTGAAAACACTGAGCTGTGTTTTATAGCAATACACTATCACGGTTAGTCAAAGTCTAAATTGGGCAAAACTAATCGAAATCCAGACATTGTTGATGGAATTTGAATGCTGCCGGATGGCTGAAAACTAGATCAAATAAATGAAATCTGGGCACAGATTTAAAAATATATCTTTTTCTAACTGCAAGGACTAGCAACCAATGGTCAAATAGTAAAAAAAAAACACAATCCATTGTTGGCGTGAGTGTTATGTGGCAGCTGGTTCGTGATTGATAGCTAGCCGTTTAAAAACAAGTACAAAAGGCGCTAGTAAAATCTGAATAGTGCAAAATGTAATAAAGTGACAACCCGCACACAAAGTGTAATAGCCCATAAATACACTCAAACCATATAATCAAACAAAAGGTACACTATCTTTAAGAACTGTGAAATGTTACTATATATATATATATATATATATATAGTATGTGCAAGTATATAAATGTGTACAAAGTGCAAAAATAAATGCATAAAAAAATAAGTGCTATTTACGCTGTGCAAATATGTAAAGTGTACTAAGACAGTAAGTAAAAACAAACTTACTCTGAAGGCCTAAACCAATCTCAAAGGTACTGGAACTTCACATAAATAATGGAAATGTAGTAAGTTTTTCTTCCAACTTATGAGAAAATGTAAAAAAAACACATTCCAATGTGAAAGGCAATTCTGAAAACATCTTACATAGTTGTGGACAAAGAAGCTCATTTGAAATGCAAAATAAATACACGCCTCTGAGACCTGCCATTGACTGCAGTTAGTGATAAACAACTTCTGAAACCGTACTCACAGGAATAAAGGTAAAGGCTTTACTAGAAATCAAATAAAAGGAACATTATAGAGTGGCCTGGGTGCACTGTCCCTATACTGTTAGTTTTGCAATGTAAAACATTGCAGTTTTTGATAAACCGTGCTCAGACAGCCACTAGAGGCCCTTCTGGGATTTTACCTGACTCTGGGTCACCTAACTAATGCTGGATATCCTCACGCTCTGCATGAGGACATCTTGAGCCTGTGAAATCCCCATGAGAAGTGCTTATCTATGGGGAGGGCATATGGTGCTAGCAGCGCGTGCACATTAGGTCCCCCCTGTCGGAGGAAGCGGAGCGCCGACCTAGCACCAAGGGACACTGGAATCGCATAAGTAAATAATTTTTTTTTTAAACCCTCTACATGCTGGGTGGAGGCTACTATAGATACCATTTAAAATAAATATCTAAACCCAAGGCAAAAATTTGCACTTGCCACTAGTAAGTAGGGATATCAACCATCACAAAGGCGTTCAAGGTCTTTCTTACAACTATCCAGTGCCCTCAAAAATACCTAAACCAGGGCTTTGTAAATGAGAGGACCCCAGATGCCGCAGAGCCACAATCAACACAATGATCATCAAGCTTTTAGAATGGGAAAGCCATAACGCCCTGGTATCCAAAACTTCCCCACTGCTGGGCTAGACTATACCCCTCAATTCTACAATAATGTATGAGTGATATAGTAATATAACAGATGTTGGTATAGAGTGTGACATTTTATAACAATGAGAAGATTGTCAAAACAGTGTTAAAGCGGCACTGTCATGGCCGAATCCTGTTTGTCTTTTAACCCCCCTCCCGACTCCACTACATCTAATTGACCCCCTGGTCACCCCCAAATGCACCTAAGCCCCCCATATTACCTAGCTTTTAAACTTTATTTTCTGCCCCGACCTAGGTCCTGGGCGCCGCCATCTTTGTGTGGGTACATGAAGGCCCTGTGGGAAACGTCATCTGCCCACACTAGATAGAGTTGTGAAATTCCCACGCCTGCCCAGTTAAACACTTGGGCATTGCGAACAGGAATTTCATCCATTCATTCGTCAGAAAGACGAGTGAATGAATAGAAATGTCAGCCGAAAAAACACAGAATATCGGTGTTTGTTTAGTTTTTTATGAGGAGGGAGCTACTGGCGCACAGCTCCCTCCTTTTAAAATGTAAAAATAGAAGCGGCAGGGAGTGCTCCCCGCCACTACCTAAGCCCCCCATGTCTTCCCTTACTCTATGAGGGCCAATATAACCCCATAATAGCATAAGGGAGATTGTGGCTGCTCACCCTGAGCGGCGGGTGGAGGCCCTAAATGAAAATGTCCCACCCCCCAAGGTGACCAGGGGTCCCCAAGCCCCTAGTCACCCTCCCCCCACCCAAAACAAAAATCATTAAACCCTTACCTACCCCCCTCACCCTAAAAATAGTGAGGGTGGAATAAAAGAACCAAGTGCCTGTAAAAAAAATAAAAAAAATGAAACTTACCATTTGATGCTTTCTTTTTTCTAAAATCTTCATTTTTCAGCCCCAAAAATGGCCAAATAAAAACCATAATACCCGCCGAACTTGTAAAAAAAATAAAAAAATAAAAATAACCAGAGCGCAAAAAATCAGGCGAAAAAGAAAAAAACAGATGCAAAAAAATTAATCCATCTTCACCCATCTTCCCACGCACTGCAATTTGACTCAGAACACTCTGATTGGTTGGCTTAGAATTCAACCAGAGAGTTAGTCATTTTACACAGCGTGGGAAAGTTCTTTGGAATTTTCCCACGCGGTGTAAAATGACACAGAGCACTCTGATTGGTTAAATTCCAAGCCAACCAGAGTGCTGTGACAGGTAAATGTAGAGACTTACCTGTCAGTCTCTTCATTTATCTGTCAGAGCACTCTGATTGGTTGGCTTAAATCAACCAATCAGAGCGCTCTGAGCCTAATTGCAGGGCGTGGGAAGGCTTAATAAGTGCTCAGTCTGTGCCGTGCCCTCGCCAGGTGAAGATGGATTAAATTTTTTGCATCGCGCTTTTTCTTTTTCGTCTAATTTTTTTTTGCGCTCAGGTTTTTTTTTTTTTTTACAAGTTCGACGGGTATTATGGTTTTTATTTGGCCTTTTTTAGGGCTGAAAAATGAAGATTTTAGAAAATAGAAGACAACGAATGCTAAGTTTTATTTTTATTTTTTACAGGCACTTCGTTCTTTTATTCCCACTATTTTTAGGGTAAGGGGGGTAGGTAGGGGTTTAATAATTTTTGTTTTGGGTGGGGGGGTTACTAGGGGCTTGGGGACCCCTAGTAACTTTGGGGGGGGACATTTTCATTTAGCAGCGGGTGGGGGCCGGACAATAGGTCCCCTCCCCTTATTGTTATTTATTGCCTCTACCCGCCGCTCAGGGGTGGGGGCCTTGGGGGGAGGACAATAGGTCCCCCCTCATTGTTTTTATGGCCCCCACTTGCCGCTCAGGGATGGGGGGAGGACAATAGGTCCCCCTCACTGCTATTTAGGGCCCCCATGCGCCGCTCAGGGGTGGGGGCCCGGGAGAGGACAGTAGGTTCATTGTTATTTAGGGCACCT